TAGTTGATTTTTAGATTATGGTTGGTGGGGTCCTTTGTTGGATGAATAGAAATGACCCAATTTTACTACAGCTGAAATAATTCTGATTAAACATTAAGCTATTGTTTGGCCATAGATTTTGAAGTTGAAACTTGAAAATTTGAGCCTTTAAAGATGTGATTTTTGGAATTTGAAGTTGTATTTGGACGTGCATTTTAGTTGGAAAAAGATTGATTTTTTGTTAGTGGAGGTACCAAAAACTGGTTTGTCTTGTTTTTGTGAACTTGAAAATATTTGAAGATCAAATTTTGAAAGTCTGATCAAATTTTATGGCCAAACACTAGCTTATGCTTATAGTTCAAAAAAGTTCGCATCTTTTGATTTCGCTTTTTGCTGGAAATAGAATTCTTGATTCATCCATGACTCAGTTTTAGTTTTTTGAGTTCTGTAATAATTTTACTACAGCCGAAATACTTCTGATTAACATTTAGGGTTATGGTTTAAACAAGTTTTACATTTTTCATATTTAATCTTAGCTTTTGGCTGGCAATAGAGTTCTTAAAAAATCTTTAATTCTGGGGTACAGTGGAGCTTATGATATGTCTTATCATTTTCATTTTCACCCAAGCTTGATTCTTGAGTTAAAAATAATAATGAAAATCGAAGCTTGATTCTTGAGTTCAAATAAAAAATCAGTTTGCACTAGAATTTGAGCAAGTTGCATTGTATTATCAATAAGAATTGAACTGCTGAAAGTTCACATAGATCCAAACACCATTTAAGCGGATGTAGAATGGACTGGCATTCTCATTTTGGCCATCCGATTGCGGATGGTAAGCTGACCTATGGTGCAATTCAACTTTCCAGTGTTGCTTTAGTAGATAAGTTATTGGCTGTGTGTCTAAACACATGGAAGCAATGGAGAACTCGCAAAATGTGTCAGGTTTTATGACAGCAATACATCTTGGAGATATCATCCAAACTTTGTATTCAATTTGCTTTTGAAATTATACTAAGAATTTTTGATAAGGGGATTGTAGTTTAATATTTCATCCTCTGGTGCGTGGTGACTGCTTCTGCCATCTGTAAGTACAACCAGCTGCGGCTGTGGATTGTGGACTATGACTGCCTCTTACTCTGACTTCTAATGAAACTGTGATACTCATTTGTAATTAATCACAAGCCTACTTGTTAATCAATAAAACTCTGATAATTTTCGAACTGATCAGTCTACTGAAGTTACTGTTCATGAAGCTACTAGGTAAGGTTGGGTCTATCTGGCTAGACTGGGGTGAATAGAGTGGGGCATTGCTTTATTTACTTGATGTTTCTCTTTGAGTTTTCTATTGACAAAAATGATGGTATCACCAAAACAATTAATTTGATCATATTTCTTATTCCATGTAGCTTGTTAACTTTTAAATTGTCGAATATCATTATGTTCATACAATTACTAACTTGATTTTTTCTGGTTCTCTGCATCATCTTTATGGTTCATTTGCTGGTTTTCACTTCTTGGATAAAGTGTAAGTGATTCAACTAATAGTTGCCTTTGGTCTGTATTTCGGGTAGACTGTGTTCTGATATAATGTCTTATCCAGGCTTGCGGGGCTTGCCTTCATGTTCTCTTCCAGCATCTTGTTACAGATTCTGGTAGGTCTTATAAATGTTTTCCTCGTGATGAGTGTGTGTGTGCCCCTGTATTTCCAAGGGTTGTGCAAGTACAAATGAGTTTAGTGTATTTGCTTGTGTAGAAATAAGTTCAATTAAGGTTCTCTACTTTCTCATTACCCCTTGTATTCCAACAATCTGCCCCCACCATGCATTACCATAACATGTGTGTAATATATATGTGTGTTGTAAGTAAACAAGAGGATCATTCTGTTTGCTTTTTGTGCATCTAATCTGTTTTTTTAAAGGAAACAGTGTCTTTGGTCTTATCCAAAGAGTTAATTGTAATGCTTTTGCTTCAATATTGTTTCTTGTAGGCTTGTGCTTTATACAATAACTGGTGGCCAATGTTATCAGGTTTGTAAAAGAAATGAGATCTACGTAGTTGGCTTATTACTCATTTCTTTCTTAAGCAGAGTAAGCTCTATCTGTTGGCTAACTAATAAGATCACTTGGTTTTGACAGCTCTTATGTATGTTGTGGTTCCCATGCCATGCTTATTCTTTGGCGGTGGATCCACACAATTCCTAATAAGTCGAGATGGCGGGGGGTAAGATACTTTTACAATGTGCAGAAGTTTATTGAATCTCCTTCTCTCATGAATTTTCTTGCATACTGCTGTAAAACGTGCTTTCTTTTCTTATGAAAACTGAGGATAAACTGTGTCTTTTGTGATGTCGAATAAAGGAGGCACATGTGAAGTATGTTGTCTGATAAAAGATGATCTTGCTGCACCCACTAACATGAATGTGAAAATCGGAGTTCATCCTTTGCTTTTTTAATGATTCAAAACTACATAATACAAACTCTTTATATAGTGTGCTACTGTGATTCAGTTTGGACTTTGGAGTGTTTTGAAACAAAAGTCATATATAACTTATATACCAGAAGTTGAGGTTAGACTTATAAGAATTCAGGAATGTAACTATGTTTTTAAAAGTTGCTTTAAGAAGAACAAAAGGATCGGTTGTGTTTCTTTTATTCATGATGCTCTAATAGCCTGTTTGACAAAGCTTCTAGTAAGCCAAAAGTACTACTCCCTCCGTCCCATTTTATGTGGCACCCTTTCATTTTTAGTCTATCCCAAAAAGAATGTCACATTACTATAATTAGAAACAATTTAACTTTAAAATACCCCTTTTACCCTTAATAAAATGATTTTCAACCACACAAATGTCTTAAGGATTGTTTTAGACCTCAAGTTTCAAAAGTCTTCTTTTTTTTCTTAAACACCAAACCAAGTCAAACGGTGCCGCATAAAATGGGACGGAGGAAGTACTATTTTTTTAGTTAAGCCATCACCAAGGATCATGGGTCCTTGATGTGGGGATTAGGCTTGAGCCCTACCATGTCTATTCATATGCAGAAAGTTACATAATTAGAGGGGCACATGGACCAAGGCCTCTAATACGGAAATTACATCAAGCTCGAAAACCTATAGTCCTACTCAATGCCCTTTCGTTCAAAGATAAGGGCAACTTTAAGTAACCAAAAAATTACATTAATCATTTCTCCTCCTCAGAGAAGGGAATTTTCATTTATGTCTAGTTGAATTAAGCCTTTAACCTCTCTAGGAAGATGTCGAGGAGAAGTATAAAAGGTTTCAATTCCACTCGATGAAGCCATTTTAGCAACAAAAAAAAAACTGCCACCTGCCACTAGATGAAGCCGGAAGTACTTATTTGGCATTTGAACAAGATTTTAGGAAAAAGGCAAGTGTTTTTGAGTAGTACCAGGAGTTGTTGCTGAAAAACGTAGTGTTTGGAATTTTGGCCAAACACAAATTGTTACTCTAATATTAACAAAAGTGTTTTTCAAACTGAATTGCTTCTCTCTGAAGTATTTTTTCGAAAATACACTTCTGACAAAGAACACTTTACAAAATGGCGATTTTGAAAGTTTGGTCAAACAAGATATATGTCGCGAGTATCTATGATTTGATGTTTTACTTTATGAAGACCTCCTCCTTTCTTGTTGCTTTCTCGTCTTTTGTTGTGTCCTTCTCGCCAAATTGTTCTCATTTTAAGCCTTTTCGTTTTTCATCTTTGCAGCTGGATGGATGCTGCTAAATTCTTAACAGGAGCATCAGCTGTGGGAAGCATAGCCATCCCCATTATTCTCAGACATGCAGATCTTATCCAGACAGGAGCAATGTTCATCGAATTCGTGTCATTCTTCATATTTGTCTGCACAGTCATGTGTTATCATCGTGCCAGTCTTGATGACGAGTGGTGATATAAAAATCGAGGCGTTGTGCTTTAGGTTCCTCGACTGTAATTACGTTGCCTGGTTCTAACAAACAAGAAAAAAAAATGCAAACAAAAGGTAGCTGAGAAGGAACCAATGCTAGAAATGAAACTAGAAATTTGATTTCCCAATGTGTATAACTTTGTCAAATGTCACGTTTATAATTTCTTGATGTGAGAGTTGTTTTCTCTAAGTTTGAACATTTTGTTAATGGAACAAAGATCATATTTTTAGTTACTATTTGCATAGATAGTTGCTAATAGATCATAAATACTCAATTCTGAGGATGCTTCTTCTTGAACTTGTGCCTTTTTTTTTTCGATTTTTCACCCGGTGTCTGGAGCCTCGACTAAATTCGGCTCGCACATTGCAGCAGCCCCGATTAAATTCGGATCGCGCAGGCTCATTGTGGGGTGATGCTCCCAACAAGATTTTCTTCATATCTTAGGCTCGAACACGAGCCCGCTAGTTAAGAGTGAAGTAGTCCCACATTGCACCACAATTCATGTTGCTCTTCTACTTATTTGAATCATAATTGGTGTATTTTCAAAAGCCTATTTTTAGTTGAATTAAAAAAAACTACTGGTTGTTGTTGCATATTAATATGATCTTAGAATTTTAGTTTGAATCATGGACTGTTCCAAGATTACTAAAAAATTCCTTTATCTGTTGTATATAAAAGTATACTTTAAGCCTTAGAATTATGGAGTTAAAATTAGCAAAAGAAATGAAATAATAATCTATGGTGTATTTTTTTCAATTTTATTTTTATATTTGGTTGGTTAAAATATTTTGAAAAAATAAATAAATTTCTTAAAAATAAAGAAAATGATTTCACTTGTGAAAGTAGAGAAAATAAGTTTTATAAATAACATTTCGAGTTTCTAGTGTTTGCGAACTTATTAAACACTAAAAAATAAGTAAAGAACTGGAAACACCGCAATCCAAAAAAATAAATTAAATTTAGCTGTACGAATTTTCAATAAAACTATCACTAAAAATTATAAAGGCTCTATTAACTACAATAGAACGAATCCAGTATAAATGTATAATATCATAAATAAGATCTGAAAAGAATAGAATGCATACGAACCTTTCATGAGCTAAAAATATTGTTTCGGGTAAATTCTTGACTGAAAAAATGTAATCAAAGCAAGAGCTTTATTAACTACAGAAAAAGAAAATTTTATAGAAAAATCCATTACAAACCCGATAGCACAAAACCATTAAACACTAAAAAAATAAATTTCCTAGCATCAGATAAATGTTATAGCTAAATAACTTTATAGTTAATCGTCTTATTTAGCGACAAATTATCAATAAAAATTTCTAAGATTTTCAGTATTTCTATTCTTGTCCTTTGGTTTACTTGCAAAAAAAAATTCTAGTCAAATTGCACAAAAATTTCTAGTCAATATATCAGTTTTGTCTGTTCATAAAATCCCCAAAAAAGAATGCACAAAGACAATAATCCCTAGATAAAAAAAAAAATCTTGCATTGAAAAAATATAAACATGTTTGTGTATACATAGACATAGATAAATCTACTTTTACTATACTATATAGTTAGACAAAAAATTGTTTCCTATATATTGACTTTTCTTGTCATCTTGGTGCGATTACTTTTTTATATTTTAACACATTTTGGTGAAAAAGTTAATTCTATCGATCACTTTCTGATATATGTGTGGTGAAAGATAGTTAACAGGTTGAAATTAATTATAGAGCTCACACACTTGATGTGAATATTATAATTATATACAAAAAATTTAATCATATATAGTGGTTTTAGAAGTTTTAAAAAGTCTAAACATGACAAATACATGACTAAATAATTGTGTAAATTATATTTGGAATATTATTCAGTCAAGAAAACTTATATATTGTTGGACCCATGCTCTTCCAATTTTTTATTTAAAGATACTGAAAATTTCAACAATTATAAATAGTAGTCATTTTTATATAAATATTGTAGAGTGAATTATGAGAAAGTGAGATTAGTGTTTTGAAAAATAAAAAAGATTGTTGAAGGAAGATGTTCTTTTTTATGGAGCTTTTGATATGACAATTTATTTAATGTTTGTTTGATAGACATACGACGTTGTCGTGTTGTTGTATATTGACTTATTGAGGAGATAAGTCGAGAGGATTACTATTGAATCAGTGAAGATTTAGCTGCGGCTGATTAAATCTCCTCAAAGAGACTGCTGAGATATTGATCACGCCTTTTTAAAATATAATTGTATGTTTACCAACACATGACAATGACGATATATGGAAAGAGGGAGATATAAACATGAAAAACATATACTCTATTTTCACGACCATTCCTCTCTTTAGACAATTCTCTCTTATAAAATAATTCGATTGATTTGACTTACAATCCATAAAAAATGACCAATTTAATTAAGACATTCAAAGTGTACAAAAGAGAATATATGTAATATTAGAGTACATACTCCAATTATTATTTCCAATAAATTAAAATCCAAAAGAATGTCATCATAGTTCACTCAAAGTATTTCCAACAACATTAATAGATTTATTGAAACTTAGCTCTCTTAATTATTACAAAAGAGTACAATTTAATTTCTAAACTTTTGAGATCTAAGAATTGATGGATATATTTTGAGTTATTTAACCCTATTAGATAATCCATCAAGTCATTATACATATAAAATCATAATTAATCCTATCTAAATAACATTAATTTTTTAAATACAATTCCAGTCCTCAAAATCCCATAATGGGGTTTCAGACAAATCATTGTAGTTTCCCATTGGCTGTATTATTTCTCTTGATGATGAACTTGTTCCAATATTATTATTATTATTATTATTATTATTATTATTATTATTATTATTATTATTATTATTATTATTATTATTATTATTATTATTATTATTATTATTATTATTATTATTATTATTATTATTATTATTATTATTATTATTATTATTATTATTATTATTATTATTATTATTATTATTATTATTATTATTATTATTATTATTATTATTATTATTATTATTATTATTATTATTATTATTATTATTATTATTATTATTATTATTATTATTATTATTATTATTATTATTATTATTATTATTATTATTATTATTATTATTATTATTATTATTATTATTATTATTATTATTATTATTATTATTATTATTATTATTATTATTATTATTATTATTATTATTATTATTATTATTATTATTATTATTATTATTATTATTATTATTATTATTATTATTATTATTATTATTATTATTATTATTATTATTATTATTATTATTATTATTATTATTATTATTATTATTATTATTATTATTATTATTATTATTATTATTATTATTATTATTATTATTATTATTATTATTATTATTATTATTATTATTATTATTATTATTATTATTATTATTATTATTATTATTATTATTATTATTATTATTATTATTATTATTATTATTATTATTATTATTATTATTATTATTATTATTATTATTATTATTATTATTATTATTATTATTATTATTATTATTATTATTATTATTATTATTATTATTATTATTATTATTATTATTATTATTATTATTATTATTATTATTATTATTATTATTATTATTATTATTATTATTATTATTATTATTATTATTATTATTATTATTATTATTATTATTATTATTATTATTATTATTATTATTATTATTATTATTATTATTATTATTATTATTATTATTAATTAGTGGTTGATTAGGGGGTAATAATAATCCAGAACCAGCTGGCCTTCTATCAAATGCCCTAACACATTTTGATTTCTTGTAAACTCTGCACAAGCTGAATTCATGTTGTAACTGCATAAAATTCAAAAATAATAATAATTAGTTATGTATATGCATCGATAACGTAAATCAAATGCAATATAAATTTTATTCCAGATTTAATCATAGGTATACTAAAAAAATCGACTCATAAGGTTATATGTATCGGTGCAAAAAAGTATTTACATCATTAGGTCATTTAATAGGAAATTGCAAGTAAATTTCTTGATGAAGGTGATTCACATGTTAATATTCACTAATATTGATTTATTTATTTATTTGTAATGTATATTATGTGTATAACTTAAATTCAAAACTTTAAAAAGTTTAGATTATATGATTGCCTGTACAACAAATATATACATGCATGATAAGTTTGGTCACTTATAAAATAATTATACATAAATTTCTAAAACAAGAACTAATAAGTAACTCGATAAAAATAATAAATTAATTATTATAATAAAACTATTCATATATAAAAAATTTACTATGTCAATATATATACGTTTATTTAAACATAAAAGGTGAATTTTTTTTCATCACTTCGTACGTTATATATCTGAAAGTTTTTATTATTAATGGAGCACGATGGTGTCTCTCTCAAGAAAAAGACAATGCTATCTAATCATGACATTTTTTTCATAAATTTTGTAAAAAACTTTACACAACAAAAGAAGGTATTCGTTTGACTCATGGATTAAGTTATTTTGAAATTATAATTTTTATATTAATTTATTTCACTTGAAAGATAGAATAAAATAATATCAAGTTGGATAGAATAAGGTGAGACATGCATAAATCAAAATTTTATATTTTATTTGTTTGAGGGTATAAGATAAATTTATGTTTTTAACCAAATAAATATAAATTTAATTTTAAACTTAATTATAAAATATATCATTGTATCCCATGAACCAAACGATCCACATAATTAACTTTCCAAGTAAATCCATACTTCAAAAATATATAAATTTGGGGGTAATTAACAATCAAACAATAATCATAAATTTTAAAATATTAAGTTAAAAAAACATGTGTATAATATTTCATGTGTGGTGAACAAAAATAATTTTATTAGTTAATATAATGTATTGTCTTTATCATATACTCAATAAATAGTGGAAAAGCAAAAGAGGATAATCATGAAGAAGCATATACCAAACACTAGATGATATCTACTTAAAAACAAACAAATAATCCAATGCTAATTCTTTTTTTTTTTTTGCAATACAAGTTGACAATATATTCAAACTATAAATAATTTTCCTAGGGTCCCATGTATTGTACTTGTTGAATATAAACTTAAATAAATAATTTTTAAATAACTTAAATATTTAAATAAGATTATCACGGATTTTTATTTGTTATCACGCATTTTAATTTGATATCAAAACAAATAAAAATCCTCATATTAAACCTTACCGCCACTATTTATCAAAAATAATAATTAATTCACGTGTTTGACCAAGGAAAAAATAACAATCAGGCCCCATGTACATAAGAAAAGGTGTATCGAAAATAAAATACTTTTTTTGGTCTGAATAATTAAAAATCATTATGAAAAACGTCAATTGTAAACATCGTTGCTAATTCATCACTAAATTGCTTATAGTTAAAAAAAAATTTAGTAATCCATGGATGTATGGAAGTAATAATAAATTTATTATTTAGCTATAAAATTTATCTAATATCACTAATTCTTATTATTTTAGTAATGAAATATCATACAAAAAAATAATTTAGTTTAGACTCTCTATTTTATTGTTAACGATCTGATTTATAGCTATATATAAATATGTATATTTTAGATTATAATTTTTGAAAGTTGCCTTTCCTAAAAAATATCATCATATGATTATGTATCTGTATAAAGAAATGATTAATGAAGTACAACATTTTTTATTATGCCTTATTGTCAGAACCAACAAACCAAATTTTCTGAAGAATTCACTGGTTTAACACACGTAGAAGTTTCAATTACAAAAATAAAAAATAAAAAATATTACTGTTATTTTCTACAAGCAGACAATTGTTCACCGACGTATCTGTTTTTATTTGAAGGTATTATTGAAAATTAGTATTTTCTACGTTTTAATTTATTTGTATTATTTTTTTCTTTAGCTTATTATATATTTGAAAATTACGTATAAATATTATAAATTACGATAATTAAAAAAATTTAAAGAACACATAAAAAAATTATGAGTACTTTTAAAGTTCTACCGGTGCCGCATAAAATTAGGATATATTGAAAGGAGTAACATATATTATTTGAAATTATAGTACTTTTTACGTAATATCATATTGAAATATATAACTACTTAGAGGTAGATTCACAATTTAAAATTTATAATTCTTTCAATGATAATACTATAATAATAATAATTGAGTTCACTATGAGCAATAACATATAGGGACCTCTAGATCAGCTGCCTCTATCATTTCATCTAAAAGCTTTTCATTAATAATTATGTTTCAACAACACATGACTAGTTTTGCTTATTATGAACAATTATTATAGTTATTATATATCTTTTTGGTGACATGATGATATAAAAATTCAATGTGTTAAGTCTTTTTTTCACCTGATTTTTGGTACCTATATTGATGCTTTGATTAATTTAAATTCACGTTGTGTAAGAGGAAGAACCTACAATTTTATTTTTTTACCTAGAGCTCAGATACAAAAAGGATGAATAGATCTTACCCATCCCACCAGAATCCTATTGGTATATTAAAGTTAATTAAAAGTCATGATATAAAAACCTAGAAGTACTAGTACAACTAGTTTAAAAACCCTAATATTTTCAGGGTTGCAAAACTAACCTTTAAATTTGTGATATGATTATTGGTTAGTGAAGGTTCTCCATGAGTACTAGCTTTATACTCATTCATCTTCCATTGTGTTTTATTCCCATTTGGAGCTCTTCCTTTATAGAAAACCATTGTTCTTTTGCCTCCAATAATTCTATTATTGTTTGATGAATATACAAAACCAGGAGTACCAGTAGCTTTCCAATATCCTTGTGTGGTAAGTCTAGTAGGTCTTCCTCCTCTTGCTTCCCTATCTTGAATTGGAATGAAGAAAAACCATTGCTCAGTGTCATGTTTAATCACTTCTCCTGCCATTTCTGGTTCATTTTCAAGAATCACATGTTTAGCAAAACAAGTGTTAAATAACAATTCTATGAACTACAACGTCAACAATAACATATTCGATGTAATCCTATAGGTGGGGTTTAGGAAAGATGGTGTGTATAAGTAGTTTTACTCCTACCTTGTGAAGATAGGGAAGTTGTTTATGAAAGATCCTCGAGTCATGGAAAGCATAACAAAACCAAGTATGTAAAGCAAATAAAGAACAATTATATGAACGACGACAACAAAAACAACAATAACATATTCGGTTTAAGCCTACAAGTGAGGTCTGAGGAGGATCGATGATGTGTACACAATCTTATACACCTATTTCGTGGAGGTAGAAATGTTGCTTTTGATAGACCCTCGACTCAAGTAAAGCATGACAAAAATCAAATATGTATAGCAAATACAATACAATTCTATAAACTGACAGTATAAAAAGATTCACACTATAGACATCGACGGATTCAAGATTTTCGTCAGGAAGATTCAAAATATACAAAAAAAAAAAAAAAACGAACTCACAAAAAATTTACAATACCTAAAAGATATTATATAATTACATGTAGTTTTATTAATTAATAACTAAGACTACTAATTATTGAAGATAAAATTAAGTGAATAAAAATGTGCTTCCTCTCCTAGATTAAATTTAGATAAAATGATTACATACTTCAACATTAACCTAAAAAATCAATTTATAACATTTTATAATAGATCAGGAAACACTAATATTGTAAAAAATATTTAGGTTAAAAGTTAAATTTTTTTATTTTTTTAAAGGTTTATCAATCATCCTATCATGTATATTGGTGCATACTAAACAGTAAACACACAAAATCTAAGTTATTCTTTATGTCTAGTTATGATTTGAATTATTAGATTCTTTTAGTTTCAATTTGATTCTGGATATCTATTGAAAGAATCAAATCAATGAAGAAAAGACTTAAAAGTTACATAAAATGAAGATTAAGTAACAAATAATTGATCTTTTTTACAGCAATAAAATGCTTGATTTAATAATTAAACCATCATATAACAAAAATTGAAGAAAAGGCTAACTTAAACTTGAATGGTTTAATTTTCATTTTATTAGAGAGAATTAAAGTCATTTCTCAAAAGAATTACTTAAAATAATTTCACTCAAAAATATCGTCCGATCTTCAAAAATATTATGAAATCATGAAGAAAAAACATTTGAATCACCAAATTTTATTAGGGCTAAAAAATTTCTCTTGACATATGACAAAAAAATTAATTACTAACATAGCGAATTGGAACTTAATTACAAAACAAAATTTAATATATATTGTATTATATATATATCTAGGTTTTCAAAAACATAAAATCATGCACAAACAATAAAAAAAATTACCAAAAATAAAATAAAATAAAATGTATATATGCAAACCTGGAAGTTCAGATGGATTATGATGATAAATATTAACAACTGGTATAACACGTTGAATATCATCTCTTTTTCCATCAAGCTTATTTCTTAAATAAAATTCCACCAATTCTTCTTCTGTTGGATAAAATCTATATCCTGGTGGTAACACATTATTATTATTATTATCATACATATTATTCTCCATTTTTTCCAATAAAAAAAATATATTTTTATGTATATATATAATTTCTCTCTATTTTTTTTCTTAACTCAATAATATTGAAATTCTCACTCACTTATTAATTTTGTGCATGTCAAGGTTTGTTCTAGCTTAGTATTTATAGAGTAAAAATGTGAGAAAAAAATATTTTTTTTTTGGGGGTGATAAAGTCAAAAATTTTATTAAAAATATTTAAAATTTAGTATATTATATATAAAAAATAATTTTTAACTTACATATATTGTATAATATTTTGATGAATTAAAGATATTCAACCGTTAATTATTCACGTCACTATATGTGACCAGGCCACTGGGCTATGGGAGCTGCCTTTGAGATAATAATTCATGTGACTAATTTTGAATGTGTTGGTGAGAATTTAATATTTTTTTTCGTTCTAATTTATTCAAAATTATGCATATAAAAATTTTAGAAAAATATGAAAACTTTTGAATAATCATCTCATGAAAAAAATTCGAAGTAAGTAACAAAAAAATATGATAATAAGAAAGCAAGACATAAATCAAATAAAATAACAGATAGTAATACACATAAATAAAAAAATGTATGATAATATTCGATTACGTACTAATATTTCAGAATAAAATACTAATAAATATATCCAAATTTGGATATGGCCATCAATACCATCCATTATTATCAAATAAGAAGACAAAAGGAAGGAAGGTGGCAACTTCTTTGTATATTAGCAGGAAAAAGGATGAATAACAGGACATATACCATATAAAAAATAGGAAAAATGTTAAAAATTATTTTTTACTCTACTGCATAATTTTTTTTTAATTTAGCAATTGTTATACTTTAAAAATCATTCATATTCTTTTTGTTAGTAAACCATCTCATATTTATTAAGCTTCTGCTAAGTGTAGAGTTCAGAAAAGAGTCAAATTATAAGGTCTATTATACCAATCATATCTTGCATTTTTGTAAGAGCTTGTTTTCACAGCTTGAAGATGTGATCTCCTTACCAGTTACATTAATACTCTCCTTCAAGGTGTACTAAACTCTCCTTATGCACGGGATTCAAGGAAGGATCGAATCACAAGGATCTCTATTGTAAGCAGTCTTATCCTACATTTCGATTGTTTCCACAATTCGAACACATAATATCTTGCTCACATGACATCAACTTTATCAGTTACGTCAAGTTTCCCAAAAAAAAATATTGACCATTACAACAAAAATACCAAACAAATTTGAGGAAAATTAGTGTGGGTGGTTGGGTTAGGGAGGTGGGGTAGGAAAGGAGTGAATAATAAAACGAGTAAGATAAGGAAAGAAGACTTAGAAATTTCAACGGCGTGTGAACGTACAAGAGGAAACTTTAATACATTTTCCTTCTTTCAAGAGTTGTACTTTGTGTATTGAGTAGTTGTACATTCATTTTTTAAGAAATATGTGGAATTAGTCAAGTAATTTCTTTCTACTTCAAAAAACATGCACATGTTTTTTTTTAATTAGTAGCAAAAGAATGACGAAATCAGCAATTTCGTTAACAGTGTTTAAGATTTTATTTAGTGATCTGAATTCTGAAGGAGCAATTTGAATCACTACCGACTAGTTTAATTTCCTCTCATATACATAGTATTAGTTCAAAATTCAAATAGATATTTATAATATTATCATGCATTGAAGACATGATGTCTAGAATCACCTTGTATATGTTATGACGCAAATTAGTTATTAATATTAACAATAGTATTATCTTTTGCATAACTAAAAAGTCAAGAATTATCCAAAAAAATTTCCATATAATTAACTTTATATTAAAAAAATAAATCAAAGTCACGATCTTATTTCCTTGACTTATTTAACCAAGAACGTGGAAAAGGTAAGATTAAAGTCAACAATCTATTTGTATGCTAAGTAAAAGAAAAGTCAAACAATATATGATTTTGTTATTTTTACCCCATTAACTAAGTTTGATTATAAGCTCACTTTCTTGCTATTTTTCATCAACATATGTATCGAGTAATTCTGTCTCCTATTATGAATACTTTTGTCCATCATATGCATATGAGATTTGGACATAGATCCCAAGATTTATAATCACTTCATTAATTATTAGGCCCCAACTTTTTACGAGATGATTGTTTTCTTGACAACCCTAAAACTATTTATTTATCATTCGTAGTTTCCTATTACAAAATATGATAGTTTATATTGCAAATTATCGTTTATATAAAAAAAGTGTATTTTGAATGAGTTGATTTTGTTTCAACCTAAGTTTTCAATGCATGAAATTAACTAATAACTAGCTATGGTGAAACCCCTCATAGAGAAAATGATTCAAATGGATTTGAACAAATTCAGATTCGCATCGGAAAATTTAACAATGAGGTAAAACACTTCCTAATAAATATCAGCAGGGATCGAATCTGATACATATGGTTCAGGACGAAGGAATACTTACCACTCCACCCGCTAACCTGGTTGCAATCTCCTATATATATCCAACCATGAAGATGAAAATATAGTTCTACTTAGTAACCTAGACAGAATTTAGATAGACTTTTAATTTGAATTGAATTTTTTGCATAATAATGTAAATATTTGTTTTGGTTATACTCAAATCCTAGGGTTTCATGTATGCATAATGGCTTGAAATTTAATACTATACTATTATTTTAGTATAATTAAGAAAGAAAATGTTGATTCCTAAAAGCTTGAAAATATATTTTTCAGTCAAATTTTAATCTTACCAGGAAAAAGGAATTTACTATATATTCAAGTCAATTAAGGACCCGTTTGTCTTTACTAAGACTAATATATGTCTAATTCCAAATATTAAGAATATTATATAAAAGATCTCGAACAATTTTACGTTGTTTATCCATCTCATCGTCTAAATAGCTAACGATGATGTTTGTAACAATGTTACGTTGTTTAACCATCTCATCGTCTAAATAGCTAACGATGATGGTTGTTGTTGGCAATCACAACTGAAAATTGTGGTAATATATAGTTAATGGTAGTAGCTAGTGATTGATAGCGGTAACAATTGGTGAAATATACTGGGATACTCATTATTGATAATTATCGATAGTGATTAATGACGGTTATATATAGTATATATTAAGAATGTTCACTACAAAGAAAAAGCACGTCAAGTATTGAGAAATTTCATTGTTTGAATATTTTTTCTTTTCACACTTCACTACATATATATATATATATCGCGTCAAATGTATATATGGAATCCTAGTTAACATCAATATAGGAATCTTTGTCTACTTCTTGTCTCTCTATTTTATTAATACTATAAAAAAAAACACTTAATAAATTAATTTTAATACTATTAATTAGATCAATATTTTTCATTTCTTATGTTACTATTAAAAAATTGAGTCAAAACCGGCAAATGTGGTCGATTTCTTAAAGAAAAATCAACGCTAAATCGATGGACTAGATATCGTCAATTTTTTGTGGCAACTCAATTTAGGATAAGTAGTCACACGGTAAAACACATGAGAGATATTCAGTATATAAGTAAGCATGGTTTATACACCCTAGTGACGCGTTTTAAAGTCGTGATGGTCTAGGCCTAGAACAAACAACATAACTAGTGAGATGGGTTGTTAAAGATGGTATCGAAGTAACTCCTTCTGTCAGCCTTGTCGATCTGGATTAGTGTTAAACTGAGTTTAGGTAATTCCAGTATGACGAAGCAAATCTCAGTGCTAAGTCTAGGCAAATTTTATGTGGTGGAGCAAACTTTTGTGAGGAAGTTAGGTCTCAGCAAAACACAACAAAGACATTGGATATATAAGTAAGTAGGTCTATCTGACACTAGTGACTTGTTTGTCATGCAAGTCTAAGCCTCGCGGACAATATCACTAGTGATTTGAACCGCTACGATTTTGCCTTCACTGATTTTGTGAGATCGATTAAAATCGAGATACAATCGATATATTCTATCCGTTAATTTTTCAGAAATATACATAAAAACATTATTTTATATGTTTTGGAGGCTTAATTTAATTATAGTTGGATGACCTATTTATGGTCGCAAATTAAACATAGTGTTGACCAATTAATATAATAGAACTTTATTCGATTCCATTTTCTACAACTGATATTAATTAGTCATTTGTCAATTAAATAAAAGTTGTGGAAAATGGAATTCAAATAAATAAAGTTCAACTAAATCTGTTGGTCAACACTAGTTTAATTGTGACTACAATAGATAAGAATATATTATTTCAACTCTAATAATTAATAAGTAATAATTTATTTTAAAAAAAAAGAACTTGTAAAGGGGAATTGTAATATTACATTTGAAATGTATTTTTTTTATATATATATAATATTATGTTAATATAATGGTTATGTTATAATAAATATTGACATCATTTTGAAAAATTCTACTATGCTATTATAAATATATTCTTTTTAATGATTTGATATAGTATAAAGAATTTTTTATACCACAATTGATATATATAAAAATACTATCAAAAGATAAGCTGCAACAGATGGAGCTGTTCTTTTCTTAATCAGAGATCTCGGATATGAGCTGTTGATATGAAAAAAATCATTGATAGAAAGCGTTTTTCTCTGAATGGAGCTCTATACAACACAAATTCATTAGATACAAAACACCAAATGAAAAAAATACCTTAAAACTATTAATATTTTTTCATGGACTTCTCTACTAAGTTAGTTAAGGTTTGTTGGCAATAACAATAGAGACAAAAATATAGAGGTGGAAATTATTTAGTTTGTAAAAAGACTTATCATTAATATTTATTAATATATAAATGCTCAAACTCCTTTGACCATTTAAAGAGGAAAAAGGTTTGTGTAACTTTGATACCAACATTTCTCCCTTAATTTGACTCGACTCGTAAATTTATTATATATTATTTATTGAATATACTTGAAAATACCTTTAAATTCGAAATGAATTATTAGCTTGAGACAGTTTTAAAACACTTCTTTACTTGACTAACTAAACTTAAATACACCCGTGATT